TTAACTAGCACCTATGAAGGCTGGCACGACACGCGAGGCGGTGGGTGACCAACACCACGCCCGGCCGTCTTTGTCTCCCGAGTGGCGATGTTTTATCACACCGCACCAGGTACTCATTTTAGGCTGAGTCTACCTAGGGAAGGCCCATGACCGGTTCAGATAATCGTCACCGGTGTTGGCCGTGAGCGGGAATTGAACTCGGGTCGCTGGGTCCGGCGCGCTGACCGCGACACCACCGCTCCCCACTGGTCTCGGTTTGCTCACATGATGATGATGATGGCCCAGCACACTCGCACGTGCGCAGCCCTTGCGGACGTTGGGCACTCATCTTCAAGAATCGTGGACATGTGAACGATGCGTGGGTGGCGTGCACCGGCGGGGGGCAGGAGGGAGGAATGCTCCATGTAGATACTGCATCGTGTCTGAATATACAATTATATATAATTTGTGAGGAAAAGGCGGTCGACTTGGAGGACGTTCTGACTTTTACAAATGGGTTCGTGGATTGCATCGCAAGTTTCCACTCTTGACGACTCAATCGCTGGGACCAGACTTGAGTTATAGACCAGACTCGAGTTAAATGCAGAGTAAGTAAACGTCCCCCCTTTCCACGGTTCGAGAAGCCTGTAATGGAGAGGTGCCGCCACCACCGGGTGATTCCAGTGTAAAACAAAAGTTTGGAATGCTCCTGTATAGCCCCCCCCCCCCCCCCCCCACGGTGGTGCTGTACAGCTCCAAGGTGTGTCTTCGGGTTTTACCCCGCGTCGTCCGGCGGCATGAAAGGCCCCGCTTGTGCCTGGGAGCTTCTCCAGTGGGAGAGAGAGAGAGAGAGCTTTAGCTTGCTGCTCCATTCTTGTCCTGAAGGAAGCTCCCAGCATATGGAGTGTCTCGGGAGAAGGCGGTACGGCAAAATTTCGCACTGGCATCATTTGTGGGATAGAGTGTTTCCCCCTCGCACGTGTGGGGGTTTCTCCGGGTGCTCCGTTTTTCCTCCTACATGTAAACACTCATTAACCCCTTTCCCATTCTAATGACTTACATTTATGTTATCGCAACGGAATCCGAATAAAATAAAATAACTTTATCGGTACCGAGGCTCCCACAAGAACATACGGGAGGGCGTGTGGTACAGTTTGGCGCCATCTATCTATGCGGTCAGTACAGTGTCTTTAAAAACACCGGTGCTATATCTGCTCTAAATACAATTTACGCTAAGCCGCTTGCGCGTTCTGAGGTTCAACGGTGAACGGGACCCACCCTGAAACTTGCAGACGTCTTGGAATGGGGAAGGGTTCATAGGTTAACAAAATAATAGAGGACCGCAGAGCTTGGCCAATTATTGGCACCAGCCACCGAGCGACTGCCTCCCTGCTTGTCTCTGAGTCAACTCTCCTCTGAGTCATTCTCGTTGAGAGTTGAGCAAATACCGTGCGACGGCGCGTCACAAATGATTATTGGTGTACATTATTACAACCCGAATACACACTCGAGAGTTTTCTTTTAATCTCAACAAAAGCGAACATCCACGAGGGGTGGTGGGGGGGTCATTTGCCGACAACACGGCGTGGCCGGTGAGTTTTGCGTTTGCACATCGCCGTAGAGCAAATTAGAAAACTCTTCAAGTAAAACTCACACGAAATTTCTGTCTTGTCTGTAGCCGCAAGGTGTTTGTCTCTTGAGTTGTTCGGTCAGAAGAAGAAACCTGGTTAAGGGGCGGCGCTTCACAGGACAGCCCATACGGGGGTCTCGTAGCTCTGGACTGTGGAACTGACCAGGGAGGGTGGGAGGGGGGGATGTAGCAAATTGTTATGGGCCTCGCACAAAAGAAGGTCCCACAACGGGCAGCCCATGAATGGTGGAATCAGGGGGGGGGGGGGGGGGGGGCATGTGGTATTCTGCCCCGGAATAATCTGTGCGGCCCTGCAGAGTGAGACAGAGACGGCCTTCGTGAGTGTGTCACCGTGACTGTGGACCGTATCCCGTGCCTGTAATTTAAAAGGTTTTTTTCGCCGTCGCATCGCTCGGTCGTGATTCTCCATGATTTAATGTCGGAACTAATGTAAGTACTTGTAGTATTACGCATTCGTTTTGAAGGTAATCAGATGTTTAGTTTAGAAATATAAACGATGAATCATTCGTATGTACAAAAAACAATTGCAAGGTGAAAAAAAATGATTTAACAAATGACTTAAATAAAAGTTTCAAACTTTTGCAAGCGACATGGAAACGCAGGCCTGATTCATGAGTGTGCATTGAACGTTTACTTTTTCTTACAGCGGATGGAGTTGATTTCTAATTTTGAATGTGATTATTCGTATGGCTTTGTGGTTGTTACGATGACCGGTGCTGCCACCGGCGGGGCAACGGGCGGCACACCGGCCTTGCAATCCGCAGGTCGCCGGCTCAATTCGACCTTCTGCTGCACCTCCGATTAGCGCGGTTGGCTACGTGCGGTGCGAAAAAAGTTCAATCTACACGCATGTATATATACAACAGGGGCGAGATTCTTGAATCCATGTGCAAGGAGGGATTTGCGAAGACTTGGGGAGGCCTTTATCCCACAGTGGATTAGATCATGGATTATAATGATGAAAGTGGTTGCATTTAATAATGCACAGTAATACTCGAGGCAAACACATTGCTTCACACGTCAGTCGATGTAAGAACTAGTGCTGGAGCTTGTCAAAAGTGAAATCTGAAATTTGAAAGGTGCATTGGTGGGAAAAAGAAAAAAGTACCCTTATAAAATAATGATGGTGATGTCATTACATCTGAAGCCACTTCTACCCCCAATTAAATATTTTGGAGCTGGTAATACCCGCTGCCCAGGCAGGCCAGCCTTCTTTACAAATTTAAACATTAGCTTTTAATTTCCCTGCCAGGTCCGTCTACCAAGTGCACAACAACAATTTACTTTTAAATAGTTGCTGCAACACCAACAAACCAATTCCATGGAATTAACTCACCATATCCCAGGGTTGTTGTGTGCAGAGCTCCGTTCTGGTATTGGGCTGTGCACCGCTACATGGTTGTTTGGCACGATGTCCGACATTTGGTGCCACGTCCTGGAAACTTCTTCGAAAACTGAATTTGGTAACGTCGGACATTGTGTCGAACGAACATGCGGTGATAAAACGCATCGCAGAAAACGCTCGGAATTTGTGAAAAAAATAAATCCTCCCTGCCTGGCTGTTGTAAGAGGGCTTCGAGAGGCTGCAAAAATATATTCATCTCGTTCGCGTGGCAACTGCCAGAGACCAGTATTGCAAAGGAGTTGCAATTTTGCATCGTCCTGTTGCATTTCACGGGCCATGCAGGTTCTGTCACGTGAAAAAAAACAATATTGGCCAGGGTTGATGAATTTTAGATTAGGTTTGTCCAATCTAACTGATTAATCGACTAAAAATTGCAATCGACTGCTTTTTTGTGGTCCATCACTCTGGGCCCCTTTTACAACCCTTTAACAAATTGCCACCACCGCATCCTGCCTCCCGAAGGTGGGAAACCCCCCTCTAAAGCCACGCCCGGCGTGACTCAACTGATGACTTCACCAAGCCCTTAAAGCCACGCCCGGCGTGACTCAACTGATAACTTCACCAAGCCCTGCCCATCACCTCCCATCAGCAGCGCACGTTGGAAGAGGCGGTTTCGTGATACCTGATTAGTCGAGTAACAGAACCAATAATCCATTACTTGAAAAATCGGATAACCCAGCTCTTGTATAGCCTCTAAAAGTCACAGAGCAAAGCAAGGTACTTTCATGGCCAGGCTTCAGTGCAAGCGCAGTGGTGGTAGCGGTGGCGATGGGTGTGCCGGCCACGGTGGTGGTGGTGGCGGCGGCGGTGATGGTGGCAACTGTAGTGGACCATTGGTGGACAATGCAAAGTGGCAGTGCATGAGCCACCCAACCTCCAGCTAGTCGGTAGTACAGCAAGTCGGTCTGTGCTTTTTTCCCACACCACAAAATAAATATATTTTTGACATAAAATACATTTATACCTGTGAAAAAATAGCACCGAGTTCCAAGCAAGGACCCTGATGGATAAAGGAGTTTTGAGACTCAGCGTGGCTTTTCAAAATGAGTTTTCGTCGAAGGAGGGAACACGTCTGAGAGCACGTCCGCTCGGAAATGGATCGATGAAATCTGCTCACGTTGCGAGGAGCCGTACGGATTGCTGTGCCGCAAAAGCACGAATGATGGCGACCATCCGGCAGTGGATAGATCATGGCTGATGATGATAGGGCATTAAAACATGACGGAAGGTTTCACCAAAAGAGGGTTGGTTCGGGGGAACAGTCGGTATGTCGAGCGCTAGGATTACAAGCTGGGAGTTTTCATTACAGAAATTATTGTCGCAGGCTTTGGCGAGTGAAATGAAAAATCAATCAACAGCAGCTGATTACAGAGTTCGTTTCGCGAAATTGTGAGGTTGCTCCACGGCTTCCTAGGCAATTAAATGTGGAAAATATTTGGCCAGAGCCAGGTCATCGACACAAGGCCCACACTGACCAGCACGCCACACAACACGCGTGCGTCTAAGCGTTGTACAAGGCGGTGAAGGTGCAGCCCTGCAATTGCTTGCTCGCACCGATGTTATTGGAAGGGACCTCTACTAGAGGGAGTGATATAAAGCCCCTGACGGCCAGGGTATGATGACCCACCGGGGTCACACTCTTGCAAATAGGACATCCTGGCCCACCTGCGGTTGTCACACGGTTAAAGAAAAATTCACTTTGACTCCACTTTCAACTACTTTTCCACGCTGGCAAAGACTTCTTGTAAGAGCTGCGAGTACCCACGCTTTACCCCACCGCAAGGGCCCTGGCCGAGCGAGGGACCGCTGTGTGCCAGTTGATACCACTGGGTGGACTCAGGCGGTATTGGGCAGAGTTGGGTGGCGGAGATTTAAGAAATCTTCCCAAAATAACGCACCAGGCAACAACAAAAAATCGTCGTTGGGTATTTTTTGTTATGGTTTTATTATTACTATGATAATTTTTCAAAAAAAGTTTGACATTTCTGTCCAAATGAAACAAAACTCTCATATCCACACACGTCCCTGGTAAATAGTTGCTAAATGATGTGTTTATGTTTACTACCGAGCAATAACTGAGTTCTAAATTGTACCATGTTATATAATTCTCTTGCCTTCCGCTGGCAATAAATAACGCAAGGTCGCCAATTGTCAAGCATAAATAACGGCAGTGTTACAAATCCGAAATGAGATCATCCCGTGGCCGGCGCTGCTGTCAAGTCGCGTGTACATCGAGGAGGAGAGTAGTGCTTAAATACCGATCGCCAGGCTGAGAGAGAAACGTTGCAAAATGTGCGTCCGCGCGCGTGCCACGGTGAAATGTACAATCCACGAGAGAACGAGACGCGCCGCAGAGATTCCGAAGGGTGCCGAGCCGACGGCGCTGGTACATGGTACCATCACGGAGCTCTTCAATTATAGCAGTCTACATAACCGAGTGCAATTGATCAAAATTCGCATGTCTAGATATATACGTTTCTTTATATAATATATCGTCGTAGTAATAAATAATAATAAAGATTTAAAAACGAAACGGTGATGTAAAAAAGCGATCGTTCCAAAACGCTCGCGGTGCCACCGCTGCTGCCGTTTTCAGGTTGTGGCAGGACGAGAGGCTCCGCGTCACGGGCGCGCTCGCAGCACGAGGCTGGGGGGAATCATCGCTGCCCCCCACCCCCAACCCGACGGGGAGAACTCCTGTCGCTCCACAGTTAAGGCGCGGAGAAATGTCTCCGAGTCTGTCGTGAACCGCTCGGCACGGTGCCAGCCACGGCGGCTGTGGGGGATTGGGGGGCACCGTCCACGTCTCACGGCTTGGCACGTGCTGCCCCCCCCCCGCTCGCTCTTCAGCTTGTGGGGGTCTCGAGTCTCGCGCCGGGAGGGGGGGGGGGGGGTTAGGGGTTCACCCCGTGATTGCGTGCGAAGCGGACTGTCGGCTCGGGGCTCAACGCCCGAGGGCTCGCGACACCGGTCGTAGTTTCTGTTTAACACAATTGCCTCTGTGTGTCCCAGCCGCGCGGAGAGGGCGGGTTCGCTCTGCCGTGCCTGGCTGGCTGTGTGCGTGTGCGTGTGTGCGTGCGTGTGGGCGTGTGTGTGTGCGTGTGTGCGCGTGTGTGTGCGTGTGCGTGTGTGTGTGCGTGCGTGTGGGCGTGTGTGTGTGTGTGTGCGTGTGTGCGTGTGTGTGTGTGCGTGTGTGTGTGTGCGTGTGGGCGTGTGTGTGCGTGTGTGCGTGTAAGGTTGCGCGTGTGTGTGTGCGTGTGCGCTACGGTTGTCACCTTTGACGGAAGAGAAACGGGCCCTATCACGTGAAGCGGAATATCTCACGGTCTCGGAAGGAGAATTACTCGCGAAGGAGTGGTGTTGTAACATCGTTGTTGTTGTTATTATCCAACTGATAAAAACAACATGGGAAGAGTCGCAGGTTCCCCAGGAGAAGAAGATGAACACGAGGACGATCGCGGGGAAATGCCAGGGGCAGGTGGCAACCCCCCCCCCCCCCCCGGTGTCCCGCTCGCATGGTCAGGCTCAGCGCACTGCACTCCCCATCCTGACAGCACGGCAGCTTCGATTGTATGCCACGCACGTCGTTGTCAGCAAGTCGCAGCTTCACGGTTTGATTAAAAAAGAAAGTTAACTTCTCTTTACACTCTCAGAGGATATACAAATGAGTACCAGCTCCACTGCCCTTCGAATATGCAGCAGTCACACACGTACACTCAAACCTGACTCAGCCTAAACCGATTCTCCAGCGGTGTGGTTGCTGTGAAGAACACCAGCAACTGGGGAGACAAAGATGGCCAGGCATGAGCGGTGCAGAATAAAACCTTCTTCATAGCACTCGGAGCCTGGCCCTTGCCGGGCGCTTGCTGACAGCACCTCTCTTCCCAGCAGTCGATAAGGCAAAGTGGGGGGGGGGGGGGGGGGGGCAACGTTTGCCTCTGCCAGCTTCGCCACGTGTCCGCTGCGTGATGTCTTCCGCAGTAAATAGATACACACCGAACTTCAAGGAGTACTCGTTTTTGTGGTTTTTTACACTTTGGTTTTACTCAACTTTACGTTTCTCTATTTATTTTGTGGAATGTATCGTTAATATTTAATTCTGTTCACCGAGGTTTCTATTTTATTTTTACGTTTTTAATTTAAGATCTTGTAGAGACACACAGAGAAACGAGGGCCTTTCAATAAGTAAAAACAATACTTTAATGAATTCTGGGATTTAGATTATGTTTGTTTAAATAGAAATCGTAGAGGGACATGACCATAATATTATATGGAGATTATATTTTCCTTCAGAATTTGTAGTTGTCGCCGTGATTCGACAAGCTGTCACCATATTACAGCAGCGGTGATGCACGACTGCAAATCCAGGGTTGGTGCATCACACAAAGATTGAGGAACTCCGTTGCCATGGGCGTTGGGGTGCCATACCCTGGCTTGCCAGGCGACAACAAAAGCGTGGACTTCCACCTCAACTAAACTTTTAATTTTAACGGGTAAGGCCCACTCAGCTTATAGGTCTTTATTTAGAAGCGACCTGGCCACAAATGATAGCTCAACAAAGTGGCTTATGTGGACATTTATAGCAAACGCATGTTGCTTCTAAATGTGGGGGGAGGGGGGGGGGGGAAGGACCTGGAGAAATATGCACGCAACCACGCGGAGAGACACGCAAACTCCAAATAAACAGCAGGCGTCAGGGTCGGGATCGAACCCACGACCTCCTGTATACCAGGCGAGGTAGTGAACATCTCGCCACCGCGGCGCTCCACCTGCTCAGTCGTGGGTAGAGTGCCGATAGCCCCTCGCACAAGTGGGGTTTCTCTTGCTGCTCTGGTTCTCCTGCCACATGTGAGCACCCATTCATTCTCTGAAAACATCTTCGTATATAGAGGACCGCAGAACTTGGGCAATTGATGGCACAAGCTCAGCGGCCCGGCTGCTTTCCTGATCGTTTGCGGTTCCTCGCGTCTCTGAGTCGTTCGCTCTCTTCGCAAGGGAGCGAATTCTGTACGGCGCATTACAAATATGAATTACTATCTTTTATTTTGTGATGAACTTCACTTGCCCTTTACACCCTCAAAAGAAACATAAATTAATGCGAATCTCAGATTTCCTAATGTACACGTGTGCAAGGGCATAAATGATTGCATGGCACATGCTGTCCAGCTGCAAAATGTAGAAAATAAATATCGCGCATGAGTAACAGGTTAATTTTCCCATTAACTATACATTTCTTTGACTAAAATCATACTTAAACAGGTTACATATGAATTATTGAGGGTCTGGACTTGATGGGGGGGGGGGGGAATAGTTGCAGAAAAATATTTTAACACATGTCCACTGCAAGACAGATTCTGCTCAATTTGTGTCTTGGAGAATGGTAATTTCATCCTGATTTTGGTTGAAAAAGCACCATTTTGTCAAGAAAATACGACTTTTTTTTTTAGTTTTTACTCAAAACTGGGGAACCGAAAAAATCCTTTCTCTACTCATCAAGGCTCCTTGTGTTCCGGCACACCATCATTAGGCTCGATCGGCACAGGGTGGACTCCATGAGATGACTTTAGCACCGTCAAGATGCGCCCAGGAGTGCACCCAGTCAATGTGACAAACGCCTATTTTTCTCCACCGTGCAGCTCGGAGGAGGATTCGCCGATGGCTATTTCCACTGCGCGAGCCGAACCGTGCCGCTGACACGTCACGTGCAACAGAAGGGCCGAGACGCGCGCCGGTGGCGGCTCGGTGGACGCCGCATCCTCACAGGGTACCGATTCGACGTCACGCGCACATGAGCGTGCGCGTCGTTAGCCCCGGCTCGCTTTGGCCCTGCTTGGCCTCCCCTCCGAGCCAGATTCCGGTGTCGTATTGCGTGAGGCCAGCGTAGGAACGGTTTGTTTTTTTGCGGCTCGGCATGGCAAATAGCCAGCGGAAACCACACCGTGCCATGACGGCCCAGTGCTGGTTTGGCTTGGAATGCGCCCGTGAGAAAAAGGGGGTACAAATGATGTTGCCAGGGCAGTAATGAACAACCTGGACCAGACTCATGATTACCTGACACCAGGAGTGCACAACTTCAGTCCTTGTGGGCCAGAACCCCTGCAGGCTGTACAGATAGTGCAGAATATCCCACTGTTTCATAGCTGCGAGCGATGAATAAGGTCTGAGCAAATAATGTCGTCAATTAAGGGCTCGGGCCAATGAGAGCTCGCTTGGAACGAAAACCTAGAAACGTAGATTCTTTGTTTTGCCGGCTCCGCGGAACCGGAGTTGTGCTCCCCTTGATTCACACGGCTTTAAAACCTCGATGTCCTGAGAGCCCACGCCACGAGTGGACAGTTCACGTCAAAGTAACCCATTTAGATTGAATACGGTGACAGTTTGTCACTGGAACTGCACCGCGTCCACTCTCCCGTTTTGCCTCGACCGCCACGACTCTCCACGCTACGTGCTGCACATCCCATTTGTGAGTTCAAGGCTGGATAAGGACCTCCCCCCACACCGTGCGGGTCCTGGGGAGGAGGGTGGGGGGGTTATTTGAGCATACGTCGCCACGCTAATCAACGCGCGTTGGTGAAGAGCGGAGAGCGTAGAAGTACAGTGCAACGATGGACTTTTGCTGCGCTGCCCTCTGCTGCCCACGACGACGCCGCCTCGTATCCTCCAAGCGATCTGCCGTGCACGGCGGCCACCCCTCTGAAGCGCTGCCCAGGCTCAAACCTGGCTTGGCTTTCGAGGCCTGACGAGACTGGGCACGCTCCGGGCGATTGGCGGGGGTGGGGGAGGAGAGCAAAATCCACGCGAAAGCGCCGTGCGCATCTTCTGGCCGGGAGGGGGGGGGGTCATGAATTTTAGCGCAAAGCTGGTCACGGCTCGACGTCAACCCAGCCCACCGGCCACCTGGCGGGAGCGGTCACGGGTGCCGGTGGGGGGGATAAGAGAGGGATTTCATTTTTGGTTTCATGGCTAACGGTGAAGAGAATCTCATGGCCTGGAGCTTTGCGAGCGAGTCTGGGCGTAGCAGCAACCGAAGTGCGCGTGGCTCTGTCCCGACGATTAGGAGGGTCCTGCCGCACGCGAGCACGGACACGCGCGCAGTCCGGCACGCCGCTGCCGCATTGCCTACATCGCTCAAATAGCACCTTGGTTAGCGTCCGTAAGAAATGTCCGTCCGGAGTCATCGCCCGACGCAGAAATCGAAGTTGTTCATCTTTGTTCACCTCCTCCGTGGACAAAAAGGGGAAGGCGACATCCGTTGCCGTCCGTCCGGCGGAGGGATCTCTCCAAGATTAATTGCCGCTGCTGCGGCAAAGGTCGCCATCGCTCCTTACGAACAGTCCCATGTCGACCTTGAGCTCTCTCGCGTCCAAACGCCGGAATGTTCTTCCTCCTTCCCGACGTGAGTTCCCGGCCGCGCCGTGTGTCGTTCGACACAACGCCCCGTGGCGTTTCAGCTCCATGCGTCTGTAGCTCCCTTGAAGCTCCCAGCGGGTGGTAGAGAAACGTGGGAAGGTCGCGCCGAACGACACTCGGTACAAAACGAGAACGCGTCGGGGAGCTGTGCAGGACAAACCGTGAGAGCCCAGGCGGTCGTGATTGTATCCCTCGCTGCCACTCCTGTAACTCTGATCGTAGCCATCACCAAAACGAGAACTTTGTCCCCATGTATCCGACATTAACCATAATCCCCAACCGTAACCCCAAACGTAACGTACTTTCTCGCACACAAATTATATCAATTGCATTGTTATTTAACTAATACTGCCTCCGGCGATCCATGGCACTACGAGGAAATGACCGGATGACCCTTTAAGATCTCCTCTTAACGATAACACGGGCACCCTAACGCCAATGCGATAACCCTGACCCGAATACCTCATGTAAAATTGTTATTTGTAATACAAATTCTTACGCTCAAACGCACTGTGATCATAGTGCTAAAACGCCAAGCCGAAACAATGAGACCCGAATCGGTGGCGTCACGTAGTTGGCACGAGCCCCGTAGCAAGGTACGAAATGGGGCCACTCCCTGTTCAAATTCAATTTCCTCGCCTTCTTTGCAGCCCAGCGCCTGGGCCACTCCAGGCCGTGCGCCCCCGGTGCAGTCGCACCGCCCGCACACTCGGTAGCTATGCCACGGACCCCAACCCTTACACAACAACCCTGACTTTTACACACCAGGACCCTAACCCTAACGCGTTAACCATAGCAGGGAGACCGACGCCGAACCTAACAAAAAAGTCCCTGACGCTAAGGCGGCGACCCTAAAGCGCTGACCCCCTTTGACCCTAACACAGTCACGTCAGCTCTCTTCATTTCTCAGAGCTTTATTTCGGCCGGGTCCGTCCGGGAAAATATCCGGTGAGAAACAAAGCCCTGCCTTAGTCGTCCCCCTGATGTCTTGGCGCTCTCCCGCCACGAGTTTCGTTTTTACCAACAGTCGTTCTGTCTCGCCGCTACTGTCGACCCGTGCATAACAACAACAACAACAACAAACAACAACAACAAACGGACGAGACCTCTGCAGCGGTGGCGGTGTATTGACGCTCGCGCCTCGACCCGTCGCCGGGCTCGCGTCCCACTCTCCGCAACCCGCCGTGGAGGCCAAGGACGGCCGGACCCCCGAGCGGGAGGTCACGCGGGTCGCCGGTCGACCCGGCGTGCCCGCGACGGCACGCCCGCTGCTACCGCGGCTGCGGGTGGCCGTGGCGCTTGGGCATCTGGGCGCTTTCGGGCTGGCCGGTGTCGGAGAACGACGCGAAGAAGTGCTCCATCTCCCGCTGGAGGACGCGGTTGCGCGCCTCAGCGTCCTGGCGGGCGCGCTCCGCGTTGCGCTGCCGGATCTCGGCCATGCGGTGCCGCGCGCGCTCCTGCTCCAGCTCCTCGGAGAGGCGCTCGGCTCGCCGGCAGGCGTCCACGCCGCTCGCCTCCAGGCTGCGACACGGAATGGGCACCGAGGGGCACGCACACGCGCGCAGAGACAGAGGCACCCCGCTTAGAGCCGCGCCAGACCGTTGGGTGCGCTATTAGCGAGCGGCCGTGAGAGGCGACGCGGCACACGAGGGGGTGGGCGGCCAGCACCACGCCCCGGCCGTCTCTCTGTCCCCCGGTGGTGATGTCTGCACACCGCACCGGGTAATCGTTTACGGGTGTGACTTAGGGGAGGTTCAGATATTCGTCACCGATGTCGGCCGTGAGTGTCAAATGAAATTCGGGTCATCGGGTTTGTAGGGCAGCGTGCCAATGTACGAAACTCCCGCTCCCCACATCAACACACACACGCATGTGCACACACGCACGCATGTGCACACACGCATGGACACGTGCAATTTTACATCTAAATCTATCCCGGTAGCAGCTGATCCTGGCAGTTGTGCATCCAATTCCAAACAACAACAACAACAACACCGTTGCCAACAACAGCGCTACCTTTTTATCCTTTGCTCGTACTCGGCCTTCTGCCGACTCAGCTCCATCTTGAGCTCCACGACGAGCTCCTGCATGGCCTCGTGGTGCGACTCGTCGGGATCGCACCCCAGCGGCCCGGCCCCGCCCGGCCCGGCTCCCCCGCAGGGGTCGCCCACCAGCGGCAGCGGCGGCGGCGCCAGCGGCGGCGCCAGCGGCAGCAGCGTCGGCTCGTTGATGCGGCTCGTGGTGGTGGTGGTGACGCTGCTCCGCACGCACACCTCTACCCGCTCCACCAGGCCCTCCAGCTGCGCGGGGAGGGCGCCCCGCGGCTCCGCGCGCCCTCCCCGCGGCTCGCCGTAGCCGCAGTCGCGGAAGGAGCACGCCGGCGTGGAGCCGCACGCGGAGGCCGCGACATCGCCCAGCGAGATCTCGCACGACGAGCTGGACCACGTCGCGCCGCTGTCCACGCTGCGCCGCTCCTCCGAGTTGCCGGCCGACGGGCTCTCGGCCGGCACGTTGTCGTACGTGGAAATCCTCTGCAGCGTGGCCGAGCCGCCCACGCCGCCGCCCACGCAGCCGGCGCCGAGGCCGCCGCGGCACCCGCCGGCCCGCTCGGGCCCCGGCGGCCTGCGGTTGTGCTCGCGGATCGTGGCGTAGCCGTTGGCGGCCCAGAGGCGCGACGAGCACTCCAGCGTGTCGGACGCGACGCCTCGCGACGGCGGCGGCGGCAGCGGCACGGGGCCGAACGGCGGGCCGCCGCCGCCCGACCTCGGCGAGCCGGTCTCGCGGCCGCCGGCCAGGGGGCGGCCGGGCCCGGCGCGGTACGGCGCCTCGCTGCGGCCGCCGACGGCCGCGCCGAGCGAGCCGTTGGCGACCGCGCCCTTGCCGAAAGGCACGGCCGCGCCCCTCCGCGCGGCCGCGGCCCGCGGGCTCCCGAGCGGGTCGGCCACCGCCGGCAGCGGGCGGCACCCCGCCCCGCCGGCGCCCACGGAGCGGCCGCGGAAGACGACGGCGGCGCCCGGCTCGGAGCCGCTGGTGCACGTGTCGGACTCGGAGAGCGGTAGGGCCCCCCACGCGGAGGGGCGGCCGCCCCCGGCCGGCGGCCCGCACGACGCCGTGCCCCCCCCGCCGGAGAGAAGCGGTGGCGGGCCCTCGCGGGCGTCCTTGCGCAGGCCTTCGGGGCGGCCCAGGCTGCCCGGGGGCAGGCAGGGACGCGTGAACGTCGACGCACGGCCGCGGGAAGAGGCGGTGCTGCTCGGCAATGAACACCTCCATGAGCTGCTGGATCAGGGGGGCTCCTGTGGCGTGGGGTGGCGGTGCGGGGGGTGGGGGGGTCGTCAGCTTGAGGTGCGACACACATTTATTGCTGTGATTTATGTAGCGACATTGAAAAATTATTTAGATTCTTGCAAAAACTGTGGGTTGAATGCAACTGTCTCTAATTCCTGCTTTGCCGTGGTGCCTATAAGGTGTTGACTTAAGAGCAGAGTAGTGACCAGGGGCGGTTTCTTCATTAGGGCGATTGGGCGACGCACCACCAATGTCATTCAACCACAGAGTCACGCTAGCCGTCACTGCAGCCTCTGGATCTAGTCCAATCAGCGTCATGCTACGTTCTGTGGAGTACCGCCTCTTTTTGGGCGATTTCACTCCGGCTGAGAATCGCCCCGAGTGGCCCCATAGACTTACATTCAAAGATGTTTTTTTTCGACCGGGGGGCGCTGCAATGCATTCTCTATGGCTTCTGGGAGGGCATGCACTAACGTGCTTACGTCATCATACGTGCTTACGTCATCATACGTAAGCACGTTTCATCCAACAATATAATTTGTGGCCACCTAATGGAATCTTTAATAAAATAAACTTGAGTGGTTTGTTTTAATAGTGAGTATAGAAACAAACAATATGTATTGTAAGAGTCACTTTATTTTTCATTAATATTAAAGAAGTGAAGTTGCCTTTACATGCTTAAGCTGTTAATTTATCCATTGCATGGGTGGACCCTATCCTTATCAATCATCCAGACATTTGCCCCCCCTGAGAGATTTTGCAGGAGCCGCCACTGGTAGTGACATTATTGACCAATACAGATTTAGACAGATGCATTCGGAAAAATAACACTCACAATTAAATGCTAAAGATGTATTCATAAGTCAAAGGGGGGGGGGGGGGTGGTGGGGGGGGGGGTTCGGAGGAGTGTTGGCGCAATGGTTAATGCACTGCGCTCGGTAACTCCTGTCCCTTCACCAGCCCACACTGACCAGTGTGGTGAGGTATGGTCAGTCTCCAGGACCAACATGGAATGGGGAGGCCTTCATTCAGCAACGGTAACGTAACATGATTAAGATGGCTGATAATGTCATATCCCCGCGCCTCATTTGTGGAAGATGTAATGACTCTCAGTGGTAAGCAAAGAGCAATGAGATTAACAGAAGAGCCTCCACTGTAAAACTATCATCTGGCGACCACCCACTGCGACGATGGTAACATTTGTCCCAGTCGAGTACAGGCGGGAACATCGCGTGGACAAGCCGACAAGCTCCTTCCCCCAACAGCCATCACCACCGCCGCCGCCACCGCCGCCCCCCCGAGCCAATTACACACTCGCAGACGATCTCACCGCTCACAAGTCGGAGCAAGGTGAGCACTGGTCGTCACGTATGGTCCCACGCCCCACGCTGGCTTCGTCTTTTTTCAGCTTTCTCTCTTTCACCCATGACGTAAATACGGAACGTTCGTCACGTGCCATATTATGTCCCAAGATTCGCGAATAAAATGTTTTTTTATTTTAAACGTCAAATTTTAGTTTGTTACGCTATTTCATACGCGCAGCTCGCATCTTTTGTTACGAACGTTTTTTTTAAGTCGGGGGGTCGGGGGAGTTCTTTTGAGAGAGCCACGGAAATCTGTCGCAGGCTATAAATAGGAGTCAGAGCAACACGCCGGCGTGCATTTGTACCTCCAGCAGGGAAGGAGCCGGTGAGTCATTGTGGTTATTTCTCATGCAGCTGCAGATAGCCCGCAATTATTTCCAAGCCTTTAGCGGAGGAAATAAAAATGCTCGAAACGAGTCTCTCAAGCAGCAAACCTCTCTTGAACTGGCGGGCATAGGGAGAGGATGAAGAAGAAAATGAAAACAACTATTTGGAGCTGACGGTGCGGCAGTCATCACCGGCCGTGATCTATCCGCTGCTGGATGAAGGCTTCCCCAAGCCGGCACTATTCCACTCACGGCCTCGCGAGGCGATGATCCTCGCTCCATCTCCGCGGTGTCTTGTTTTCTTTTGGCTCCTAATAAAGGAAGCCACGGGAGCTATGCACTTTTAAATCTCGATTTAAAACGAATTTCTTCAGAACCGCTTTGTGCGTTCAGTCTGTTGTCCTTCCCCCGCACCTCCGATTAGCACGGTTGGCTACGTACGGTGCGAAGGAATTGTAACATACAACATACACGTACAACATACAGTCAGTTCTGCTATAACGCATGTTTTCAAAACGCGACTTGGATATAACGTGATTGAGTGAACAGAATTACGTTTACTTTTGGCTTGGTGCGTGTCTCGCTCGGTGTGTCTCTCTCTGCATGTGTGTCTGCCTATGCTCTTCCCGTGTCTGTGTTTTTTCATTCATTCTTACCTGACGATGCTTGCTTGTCTTGCAACCGAAACGTCCTATTCTATTATTATTTGATTTTATTTTCTACGTGACTTTACCGAAAGAACCGAAGAGAATTACGTCGCACGAATCGGAATGAGCGGTCGCATGGCTGCCTCAGCGTAGCATCGTCACACGAGGCAACGGGATGCTGCTGGATACTTCGAGATGCTACCCACGCGCCTCAGTCTTTGTTCGGCCTGCGTACGCATCTCACCGTGTTATCGTGGACTGTGCTTTACCATTTTTTATATAATATTTATAACGCAACTTTTCCATAACGAGGTGTTCTTCAGGAACGCAACTACCGCGTTATAGGAGAACAGAGTGGACACACGTACACACGTACACACGTGCACACGTGCACACGTGCACACGTGCACACGTGCACACGTGCACACGTGCACACGTGCACACGTGCACACGTGCACACGTGCACACGTGCACACGTGCACACGTGCACACGTGCACACGTGCACACGTGCACACGTACACACGTGCACACGTGCACACGTGCACACGTACACACGTACACACGTACACATGCTCCGTCGGTCGTGTCAAGCACTGGCCGTCATCCTTCTCAGTGTCGTGTCCTGGCCGAGCCCATCTAATCCTCCTGCAGTCATCACAATGATGGTCAAACGTGCACTCTCCATGATTCTTTTGCACATTTTTCAGCACCGGGTTAAAAGCATTTACAATCCATACTGTCTATGGGATTGAGGCAGTGCGCCGTTTCGCAGGCTGTTTAACGAACCATACGTTGACTCAATTCGCAGCCACGGCGAACATCGGTGGCGAGTGACACCTTGTCACCAACTCGAGTCGACCAGCATAGCAAAGTATCGTCAAACAGCCCACCATGATGGACACGGGATAGGGTGGCCTTGGAGTCGGCGGGGGGCGGGGGGGCGGCAGTGAGACTCGATGGGGGGGGGGGGGGGGGGGGCGGCAGTGGGAGTCACACGGGCCCTAATGGAAAGACGATTGCGCGTCGCTGAGGACAAGGACGCACCTTCCATGATGGAGGCTGGGTCTTCTGTCTTGGGCCGCAGGATGTTGGGCCCGAACACGGTGGCCAGGTTCTGGATGCTCATCTTGTTGACGACCGCGTGGGACTGCACCTCGTCCAGGAAGCTGCACGCGGGCCGCGCCGGCGGCAGCGGCGGCGAGAGGAGAGGGCACACGCTCGATCACGCGATGTCAGGCACAGCCACCAGGGCACGATAATGGCGAGACCCCGGTCCACGAACCTTGGAGCCGTCGTCATCGAGAGCGGAGCCCCAAAGTCTTCAGCTCAATCACAGTGCTCAGCACGGTATGTATAAATTATTTCGCACCGTACGTGGCCAATCGTGCTAATGAGTTTTAAATCTAGATGATTTAAAAGTGCATCGCTCCAGTGGCTTCCTGATATCGGACAGAAGAGCGTTCCAGATGGCCGCAGAAGCGAACTTAAAAGCGTGCGATGCGGTGACCGTCTTTGTTCGATGGCCAGCAAAAAGCCGCTGCGACCCACCATGACTGGACATCTATGAAAAAGAGCTTCATAGCTCTCCAGGATAAAAAAAGATTCTGATTTTGTCTCGTGACTCAGCGCCGATAAAATGATTTCAATAATGAACAATAATCCCTTTGCCAACCGCGAGGGTTATGTTCCTGAAAACTCTCGTGGTTGGCAAATCTGTGGTTAGTAAAGTACAGGGCGCCTATGGGAAATAGGGGTTAGGGAAACCACGAGCGCGGTCAGACTCATTACAGCTTAAATAACTTGCTTGGTTATTAACTAAACACCGAATACAGCACATCACGCAATAACATGATCAAACATAAATACACGTGATATTAACTTTACATACCTTTAATATTGACGATGGTCATGACGATAACAATGAGATGACGGGGGAAGGGGTAGTTAGCAGGAGGAGGGGCTCAGCCCACCCTCCCGCTCTTCCTCCAGGCCACAGACGCAACACTCGCAACACTCTCCCCTTCACCACTCGCTGCACGCGTCGGGTCCACGATTAAGAGCAAAATTAATGTTGACTATACAGAAAGTACAACAAAACAAGCGGGCAGCTGATCAGCTAAGCAGCGCCACGACGTTTGTAACGACGGCGTCACGCAATGCGATGATGTGACGCTGTAATGCCGCTACGTGTCAACTAGGTCGTGCGCTTTCCTCAACACCATGCTTACCCGTGGATACTCAAATATCCAGGCTGCGGTTGTTAAATTGCTACACTGCACATGTATTTCGTGAGACGGAGCGTGAATCGGACCCATCGCGGAGGTAGCAACGTGGAGAAGAGCGAGAGGATTTGGTGGTCGCTGCAGGCCCAGAGGTCGTCTCGCGAGAGGCCGCGAGACAACGTGGCGGGTGTTACGCGGCGGCGCTGATTTTTATTTCACGACTTTGGGCGCGACGACTCTCAAACCGAGATGCTCGCAATCGGTAGACAGGCATACAGAAGTAAATGCGCGTGTACTCAAATCTCAACGTTGGCAAGGGATCACCGTAAAGCAACAACAAAATAGCCAAAGCACGCTCCCCCCCCCCCCCCCCGTGCCAATGTTTGTCTGCGCCAGGCACCTGCAGATGTAGCGCAGGAGGCTGTAGTTGGCTGGAGGCAGCACCTGCAGGCGGCACGACAGCTCCAGAAATCCCTGCGGGAGACGCAAATCGCACGACGGGGGTCCAGGGGTCAGCATCTATTAATATTTATATAATAATTTATTTATTATTTGCCACTTCCTTACCTCGGGAAAGCCTCACGACTCTTTATCAGGAGGGTCATACCAGGTTTTCAGAGTAGCGGCTGATGTTGCCGTGTGGGTAGCGGCTGATGTTGCCGTGTCAGCACTGGGATCTGGTGATGGCCACGACACTTTGTGTGTTTTACCAGCTAAGCCCACGGAGCTCCATGGCTCTTTATCAGGAGCGACCTGGCCACAAATGATGATCGCTCAACAAAGTGGCTCATCGCGTGGATATTGAGAGCAGCCAAACACTCTCAACGCACGTTGATTCCAAATTTGGAAGGGAAAACTCAGAAGACCCGGAGAGAAATCCACGCGACCACGGGGAGAGAGACACGCAAACTCAAAATATACAGCAGCAGGCGTCAGGGTTGGGACTGAACCAACGACCTCCTGCACACCAGGCGAGGCCCCAATGAAATACACTTTCACATCGCTATGGGAGGGAAACAGAGAACCCGGAGGAAACCCGTGCAGAGCCGGAGAGAGGAAACACATCCCGGCACGGAAGAGGGCCCCGAGTCGTGAATCGAACCCGGGCACCTTCTGCTGTGAGGCGCGGGGGTTGTTGTGTCATTGCGCCAGCCCGGCGATGGGCACCGGTGGCCTCGCCACTTTGATTTTATTCACTCGGGAAACGATAATCGCCGACGACGCAGTTGTGATACCCCAAAGGGGGTGGGGGGCGAGGCAGTTGGCGCCACGTCGCCGCGGCCGCTGCCACCTGCCTGGCCTCACCTGCCTGGCCTCACCTGCCTGGCCTCACCTGCCTGGCCTCACCTGCCTGGCCTCACTTGCCTGGCCTCACCTGCCTGGCCTCACCTGCCTGACCTCACTTGCCGGCTCACCTTGCCGGGCCTCACCTGCCGGCCTCACCTGCCCGGCCTCAATTGCCTTGGCCCTCACCTGCCCGGCCTCACCTGCCCGGCCTCACCTGCCCGGCCTCACCTGCCCGGCCTCACCTGCCCGGCCTCACCTGCCCGGCCTCACTTGCCTGGCCTCACCTGCCCGGCCTCACCTGCCCGGCCTCACCTGCCCGGCCTCACCTGCCCGGCCTCACCTGCCCGGCCTCACCTGCCCGGCCTCACCTGCTCGGGCTTGGCGTTGAGCAGCTTGGCGCACGCCAGGAAGTCGCCGTAGGCGGAGAAGGGCACCACGGGCTCGGGCAGCTCGCGCAGGTACAGCTTGAGCAGCGACGCCACCGTGTGCACGTCCGTGCTCCTGCGCAAAGACGAAGATTCCCACCCGTTATCGCCTTCCAACAGGGGGCAAGTGGTGCCCGTGAGCGAGTAGCGCGAGTCGCGGCAACGAGAGTGCAGGGCACAAGGCGGTGCCTTGACCCCCCGCTCCCTGGTGGGCAAAGCTACGAGTTGGGGCCCCCTTGACAATAAGCGTGAGATATGTTTTCAACAACAGTTTGAAAGAAGAGAAACTCATTTCAAACGCGGTTTAAATATATTATCGTGAGAATACTTTAATCTACGCTCCACGTTTTATTTTAGTTTAATATCAGCGGTGATGTAATATTGCGAAGACGGACCGTGAGCATCACGGTCATGTGACTAGGCAAGAGGAGCCGCGACAGTGAATAGCTTCGAGGTGCGACCGTGTGAGACAAAGCAAATGTTGTGGCCCCACCTGACCGATCGCGCATCCTCTGAGCTGATCATGTCGTCACTACGCCACTGAGTGGCACCGATGGAGGCTAGTACCGCACCTCCAATTAGCACGGTTGGCTACGTACGGTGTGAAAGAACTTCAACATACAGTACACACCACGCCCGGCCACCTTAGTCTCCCTCGTGGCGATGATGACACACTGCATCGTGTATTCATTTAAGGCACACCAAGAAAGAGGCATCCCACTTCGAGGTTTCACAGAATGTTGGGTGTGCTGTGAGCGAACACCCGGCCGTATTTGTTCTCCCCAGTGGTGATGTTTACACTCCGCACCAGGTCCTCATTTATCGTTGAGACGGCCTAGGGGAGGTCCAGGACTGGTTCAGATATTCGCCACTGATGCTGCTCATGAGGGGGTATCAAAGTCGTCGGGTCGCCGAGTTCGTGGTAGTGAACATCTCGCCACCGTGGCGCGCCCCCCAGCTGACCCGTCAAAGCTGGGCCTCTCTCCGCAGTCGAAGGCCCGCTGAAGGTCGCGCACGAGGCTGGCCTGACCCGGCATGCGGAAAAGGCCCTCCTCGGCGAGGCCGCGCTCACGGATGAAGCTCACACACTGCTGCACGACGCGCGGCGCGGGCGGCAGGCCTGCCGGGGCGCCCGGCGGCACGGTGGCGTGGCCGCAGTGTTGCCGCTCCCAGCGCACCGTCTCCTCCAGACGCTGGCCGAACACGCCTGTGTGTGCGAGTGCGTGAGGTGGGAGACAAGTGGGGAGCGGTAGTGTGGAAGTGGTTAGCGCGCTGCGCTTCGAACCCGGCGGCCCGAGTTCAAATTTCCGCTCACGGCCAACACCAGCGACGATAATCTGAACCGGTTTTGGAGCCTCCCCCAGGTAGACTCAGCCACAAATGAGTACCTGGCGAGATGTGTAAACATCGCCACTATGAAGACAAAGTCGGCCAGGCGTGATGATGACCACCCACCCCCTCGTGTGCCATGCCGGCCTTAATAGGTGCTGCTCGCTAACAGCCTGTTAAGGCTCTATGGGGGATCTGAGTCTTTGGGGATAGACACGTGGGGCGCATTAGGAATGTGCGGCAGGTTGATTTTGTTTAACCAGGCGAGAACTTGAGAGAGCAAAAGAAAAAAATAAAGTCCTGGCGATGAAGTGAATAGAAACCACAGGCACAGAGGTGTGAGTGTGCGCGGCGTGATGCACAGCCACGCACGTGGGAGACACAACGGGAGCAGTGACAAATGGCTTTGCCACGTGACGATGAGCCACTTTGTTGAGCTGTCATTTGTGGCCAGGTCGCCTCTGAAATATAAGCTAATAGCTCGGTGGGCATTACCTGGTAAAACAAAATAGTTTAGCTTTATTTTAGATTTCTTTCGTGGTTTTCTTACCTTTCCTACATTTTGCACTCCTATTGCTTTGTGCAATGTTTTTTTTGTAACTTTCTGACCTCCAGTATAAATAAATATTCTCTTTCCATGAATGCGGCTTGCCTGGTTTCACAACCCCTGAACATCGGACTCTCGTCTTGTTCAGGAAGCAGCAGCTGCTGCCATGTGAAATCTGTAAATCTTTCCGGAAAATCAAAAGTCCCGAGTTTTGTTCAGTTTCAAAATAATAACAGAAACACATCGCTCCACACAATCTGTCTACAAGTACGATAGTTATCTCTCCCACTGCGTGTGGGCAGAGAGAGAGAGCATGAGTGGTGTGTGTCCATGACACATGGGGATTTGGGGGATACCCAGGGGCCATGCGTGTGTGTACGCAGCATGAGGTGAGTGCGGTTAGGCATGAATCACGATGCACGTGCATTGTGTGATGGATGCAATAACGCAATAATAACACACAAGCCTGACAGTGGAGTGGAGTTGGGAGTTGCCGTGGTTAGCACACTGCATTATTGCACTATGATTCATAATTAAGTTTCTTGAGGGTTGGATCATGTAAGGTATAATGTTGATGTGTTATGGTAACCCTCCATCACCCGACGGAGCCAATCGAATCAAGTCGTCAGGGCATGGCCGAGCGTGCCGATTGATTTCTGCATAACCGGAGGAATGTTTAAAAGGGAAGCAAAAAGCTCAGTGAAAGCTGAGGTCTTGTTAAACGCCTTCGTTTAATCTCCAGCAACACCTAATGTTTCTAAATGTTGCTTGCTTTTTACCATTCCTCCTCCGGTGTTGCTGATAAAACGAAATCAATTGATCGGTACGTGTGCCCATGACGTGACAACTTGGTTTCAATGGCTCTGTCGGGTGGTGGAGGGTTATTGTAAAAAATAAAACGGACATTCCCACACGCTCGAACCCACAGTAAGTTAATAACATAATACAGTAAGTCCCCGCTGAACACGTTGGTGTTCATACGACGCTTCTTCTATTCTTCTATTCGGGAACACTTTTGCACGATGCGGTCTCAGCGCGCCGTTATTAAGCAGTTCCTGAGCAGTCGACGACAAACTAGTTTCTTGAGCTGTGTGGCTGAGTTGTGTGATGCAGCACGCGGAATCCATGCACGTGCAGTGCAATAACGCGGGCTGCTGACGGGGAAGTGGTACTGCACTGGCAGCTGGGGTCAGTACACAGGTCAGCAGAGGGAGATCTCAGGGGAAGCCCCCCAGGAAGGGGTCGATCTGGAAGCCCGAGAACCTGCTAGTAGGTTCTAGAAAGAGGGCGTGGCCAGGGCGGGGCGGGGGCGAGGCCACGCCACGAGAATAAAAGGGCGACCGGGACAGGAGCTCGGGGCTGTTTGCTGCAAGTGGATCCCCTCGCTGTGTCGCGGTTCGTCACCTTCGTCGCCGCCGCCGTCTCGACCACCTGAGACGCCGCTAGCCTTGACGGCCTGCCGACTGTTCCAGCGAGGTCGTGCCATCAAAGAGACGGATGTGTGGACTAGCGTGTAGGCACGCGGGGTACTTGTGGTTCCCCGACATGTAGAATAAAAGAAGGTGCCTTAAGAATCCTGAGTCACTAGACATGTATGTTTGTTGAACTTCTTTCGCACCATACGTAGCTAACCGTGCTAATCGGAGGTGCGGGGGAAGGACAACACACTAAACACATTAAGCAGTTCGAAAGAAATAATTTTCAGTTTAGATGTAGAAGTACATAGCGCCAGTGGCTTCCTAATATCAGAAGGAAGAGCGCTCCAAACGGCCTTAGGAGCGCATCTGAAAGCGTGCGATGTGGTGACCATCTTTGTTCGATGGCCAGCCAAAAGTCAGCTGCTGCGATGACCGGAGATGAAAAATCTGATGTGGGCTTACGGGGACTGCACTACGTTAGCTACGGTGATGTCGCGAGTGACGGAGGGGTGAGGCACGGGTTGGGGGGGGCGACGCTCACCGCCGCCGAGCGGAGCCCAGATGACACGCCGCAGAGCCCGCGCCCACTCCTCCATGTCGCTCTGCGAGCTCGCCATGAGCACGGTGCTCTCCGCACTGCCGCCGGCACGTTCCCCGCCTGCACCACGCGGCGCACACACACGGCGCACACACGGCACACACACGGCACACACACGCGGCGCACACACGGCACACACACGCGGCGCACACACGGCACACACACGGCGCACACACGCGGCGCACACACACGTGGTACACACGTGGTACACACGCGGCACACACACACGGCGCACACACACGTGGTACACACGCGGCACACACACGGCACACACACGCGGCGCACACGATGCAAACCAACACAGTACCATCACACACCCCCCCCCCCAGAGTGCAATGGACCCCAATCACTTGCTTGTTAGTTTAACACGTTGGCTTTCGCGACCAAAATTATTCGTAATATAAAGTTTTTTTTCGGTTAGATCACGTAAATAAAAATGCGTAGTCAAACCCGCCACCACCGCCACACACAGCCAAATAGTAAGGTTTGTCACCAAACAAAACGTGTCGATTAGTTACTAGTTTTGATTTAAAGCTTTCGTGACTGCAGGGATTCATCTTCTTGGTTCTTTCGGTAAAGTCACGTAGAAGGGAAGTAATAAAATAATAAAAATAAAACATAATTGGTGTCGTAATTGTATAGTAAATATATAGCAGTGTGATACACATTAGGGTGGATAGAATAATACATAGTATTATATTAAAATGGATAAGGCAGCAACTGCAGCAGCAGCAGCAACTGCAGCAGCAGCAACTGCAGCAGCAACAACTGCAGCAGCAGCAACTGCAGCAGCAGCAGCAACTGCAGCAGCAGCAGCAACTGCAGCAGCAGCAACTGCAGCTCCCTTTGATGCTGTTAATCCTGCATAATGCACATGCATATGCAGTACTAATCACATTCCTGCATTTACCATAAATATGCTAAATTCCTCTTGATATGCAAATTCCTTTGTCAATGCGCCCAGCTTATATATATGCTCCAAGCTCGTGTGCTGTTTCATTCAGACTCTGTCGCCTCGACGGACCTGGTTTTCACCTGAGGACGGCTGCTTGCGTTGTGGCCGAAACGTCGTGAGAATAATTTTATTATGTTTTATTTTTATTATTTTATTACTTCCCTTCTACGTGACTTTACCGAAAGAACCAAGAAGATAGTTATTAGTTCAGCGCAACGATGCGTTGGAGAGTAAACCCACAGTATTTACAATTTGAGTACTTTGACGTTTCGCTGGCGATTACAACCAGCTTCCTCAGGCGATTTGCTGGAAACAGGAAGACTTCTTCTCAAATTATAGGTGTTTCTGTATATTCACAGCAGCCATACGCATCACCTATTGCAGTCTACCAGAGACTTGGAATATGAAGGGTGAGAAATTCAACTTTGGCTACACAGATCGGTGTGTAGACGAACACCCTTCGCATAGCCTTAACAGACTGTTGCGGCTATTGCTGTAAGCGAGCACCTATGAAGGACGGCACTGCACATGAGAGCATGGGTGGGCAGCATCACGCCCGGCCGCCTTTGTCTCCCGAGTGGTAACGTTTCCACACTGCACCAGGTACACATTTGAGGCTGAGACGACCTAGGGGAGTTCAGATAGTCATCGCCGGTGTTGGCCGTGAGCGTGAATCGGACTCAAATCGCCGGGTTCGTAGCGCAGCGCGCTAACTACTACACTACCGCTCCCCACAAGCGGCAGACGCACGGGCGAGTGCGTGCCCTAGCCGTGCACCCGCACCTGGGCGCCTCACCTGACAAGATCTCGAGCAGGTATTTGTTCGGGTCATCCGGGGTGGGGGGTCGCTCCAGCACGCGGCTCCCCGGCAGGAACAGGGAGCCCTGTGGCGGGAGGGGGACGTGGGTGGTGAGCGAGAGAAGGGAGAGACACAGTGGCGGAGGACCGGAGCTGGAGAGCAGGTGCAGCTGTCTTGGGGCCGCGCGGCGGCGAGACGTTGACTGCCTCGCCCGGCATGTAAGGAGGTCGTGGGTTTGATCCCGACCCTGACGCCTGTAAATGTGGAGTTCGCGTGTCTCTCTCCCCGTGGCCACGTGGATTTTTCTCCGGGTCCTCCGGTTTTTCCCTCCCTCCACATTTAGAATCAACGTGCATTTAGATTATTTGGCTGCTATACATTTCCAAGTGATATGCCACTTCGTTGAGCTATCATTTGTGGCCAGGTGGCTTCTGAAGAAGAGCTACATAGCTCAGTGGGCCTTACCTGGTATAATAAAAATGTGTTTCGTTTATAGTTTAGTGCACCATCCCCGCTTGGCCGTGCATCGCCGCTGCCCTTACTGCCGCCGTGCCTGGGAAAGAGTCCCGGGACTCCCCGAGCGAACGGCATTGGGGGGGGCGGGGGGCGAGGGGGAACCCCCTGGCACGGCGAGGACTCCAGCGGTCCAGGGAGAAGGCCCAGCAGCTCCCGCCCTGCTCAGGGCAACTCGGAGGCAGGGAAATAAACACTGGCAAGACGGCAAACGGCCACATCCAAATTAATTAAGATACATTTGATTTGATTTATTTCAGCAGGAAGGGCCCAATTAGCTGTTAGGATCTATTACATGTTCGTTCTGCGATTGTACAGATGATAATTAATTAATTAGTCGTCCTATTTATTTATATCTTTAAAGCCTCACGGAGTCCCAAGGCTAATCTTCAGGAGTGTTCCACAGTCGAGCCCTGTAATTAATGTAGCGTCATTAAAATGTCTCCTCTCCGTTGATATTATTCCCTCTATCTGCCTTTCATTTCCCTCGATTTCCTACTTCCTCTCTTTCCCCTTGCTCACAGCCAGGGGCACCTATAGCTGCGCATGTTTATCCTGGCTGCTTTGATGTCGCGTACATTCGCCGTTGTCTGTTCTCCACTGCGTTTGTCTTGTAGTGTATAATAACAACAACAACAAAACAGCCAGCACTTACAATAACAATTTGCGGGATCAGAATGACTTGGAATTGCCGTGCCAAAGGGCATTCGCCCAGTGTCATCTACATCAGCAGCAATTGTCGATCCACTGCTGGATGAGTGCCTCTGCACACACTGTTGGCCAACTCTTATGGTCTCAGTGCTGCCCGCCAACACGAACCGAGCTGAGTGTCTATTTGATTTGTTCCACAGATCATTCCATTTCATCCAGTTTCCCCAGGGATATTTTGCAAGGGAGATCCGTGGTGCCTGAGTACGAGCAGCCACGACAACAATAGCAACAAACATCAATATTGAAGAGGACGCGTTACAAGGTCCTCAGGGAGTATTGCACAACTAACACACGAGGCGTTTGTCTGTCGTAAAACGAAAACACGACGCGAATGGGGGGTAAAAAACCTGAAAAGTATAGTATGATTAGCACGGTTGGCTGCGTACGGTGAGCAAGGAGTTCAACGCGCATACGACATGACAACGTAGGTGCTGGAAAATAAAAGGTTAGGTCGAGGTGCAAGTAAACTCTACATTTAATATCTCCCTCGCCACGGCGTTTCCCTACTTTGCCTGCCATTCGGTCACCAGTCTCTTGATGAGTAACGGACGCACACAAGAAGCTGCGTCATTGGCTTCATTTGGCAATAGCCTGCTGAATAAAAGTGACGCGTGATTGAAGAAACTTCTCATTTATAATGAATGCCAAGATTCAGCTTGTGGGTTTTTGTCTTGCAATTCTTTTTCAACCGTCAAAAAAACGACAACCATTATAAAAATAGAAAATGCTGTTATTGTTAAGTATTAGTCCAGATATTGGTCTTGAGAACATGCACACTGCGACAAGCGCATCTTATCTTCACGTGGCTAACGGGTACGTGGCGATATAATTAATCGTCTGTGTTTAAAACGCTCATTTCATAGCTTTGTCTCCTTAAACAATATTTCATTATGGATTGTACTATTTTCTCTTTTGTCTTTTTTTTACAAAATGTACGTGTTGAGAATTGCAGCTCTTTAGCGTAGCATTTAATGTAATCAATGTGCGTGTTAACTTGACTTCAGAGGATGAAATCACATCGTGAGAGCAATGTCATTCATTAGGGAGCGTGGTAAGCCGGCCAAGGTAGCTTAGCGCTCGAACAAGCAACCGGGAGGCTGCTTGCTGGATACGAGGTTGACTCGGTCCCATCATCCCTCCGTGGTCTATAAAATGAGTGCCACTTTGTTGGGAAAAGTCAACAGTGGTTGCCCTATGAATAGACTCGCCCCCCCCCCCCCCACCATATAAATGTGGAATGTATATCAAGTGCTAACCTTGGGACTGTACACGGGAGATGAGCAAGGACTACACTTTGACCTTTTAACAATACTATACAAATAAAAATTAACTTTTATTTTATTTTACCAGGTAGGACCCACTGAGAAATACAGCTCTTTTTCAGAAGCGACCTGGCCACAAATGACAGCTTCCACAAAGTGGCTTATCATGTGGAAATGTATAGCAGTCAAATATTCTAAACGCATGCTTCTAAATGTGGAAGAAAAAACCAGAGGACCCGGAGAAAGTCCACGCGACCACGGGGAGAGAGATATGCATACTCCAAATATACAAGTGTCAGGTTTGGATTGGAATTCACAACCTCCTGTACACCAGGCGAGGTAGTTAACATCTCGCCACCATGCAGATTGCTAGAATATTGTTCTCAACATCAGAATTATTGGATTTATTTCCATAACGTGAATTATAGAACGTTTTACAGTTACAATCCACAGCAAAATAAATAATCAGACAATGTCTTCAAATATTTTTTTGTTCGCAGAACAAACAAGAGTTTTTCTTATACAACCCATCAAGGTGCACAGCCTTCTGGCAGTGCACAAACTCAGCAGCATTGTTTCACGACAAGCAAACTCTGGACCGGTTTCGTCACGCGGTGTCTCACCAGCAGTCAGTCTTGCTCGATCAATTCTGGGTGAACTGCCAATCTTACGGGCAAGGACCATCCTCTCTTTACGCTATGGGGGTCTCAGCTCTGAGCAAAAAAAAAAACTGATCCGTGTTTACACTCCAGCGAAATCCCTGAGATCTTGGGATCGCCTTCTTCTAAGTATCCTTGCAGCGGATTTTGGCTGAGCCATCAAACTAAGACGGTCACCGCATCACGCGCTTTCAGATGCGCTTCAATGGTTGTCTGGAGCGCTTTCCCTTCCGATATTCGGAAGCCACTGGAGCCATGCACTTTTAAATCGAGATTGAAAATGCATTCGTCCAGAACTGCTTTAATGTTTAGTTTGTTGTCCTCCCCCCGCATCTCCGATGAGTATGGTTGGCTACGCACGGTGCGAAAGAAATTCAACATACAGACATACTCCAAAGTCAAGGCTTATTTCCTTGGGTGATCGGGATTATTTGCGTTGCTAGTGCAGCTCGCGGACCATGGAACAACGCTTTGCCTTTGCTCACAAGACAATCAAAGTCTTTAGAGATATTTGAGTCTATCTTGAGAACTCCCCTCTTTAAACTGGCCTCTACCCCCAGGTTCTGTTTATTGTCTCCTTTCCATACACGGTGGCGCATTGGGACCTTCGGATTAAATGCGCCTTGCAAAATGTCAATAATTATTAGTATTATAACAACAAAAACATCCCATCAACATAATAAAGCCAATCCACGGCAGCCTATTGTAGTACAATTCCCATTGGCGGGGTGGGTGCCACCTCTGCTGTCCACCCAGTCGACGGGAACTGCCCGAACTCGCCCAGCGCTGGGAAGGAAACCTCATGGGACCGACGAGACGCCTCCTGCTGCCTCCTGCTGCCTCCTGCTGCCTCCTGCTGCCTCCTGCTGCCTCCTGCTGCCTCCTGCTGCCTCCTGCTGCCTCCTGCTGCCTCCTGCTGCCTCCTGCTGCCTCCTGCTGCCTCCTGCTGCCTCCTGCTGCCTCCTGCTGCCTCCTGCTGCCTCCTGCTGCCTCCTGCTGCCTCCTGCTGCCTCCTGCTGCCTCCTGCTGCCTTCACGCTGATAACCTCGATGAGCAACTTTCGGAGCCTCGGAACCCAGATTAACAATTACCCGAGGAGTCTGTCGAGGAGATTAAGAGTCGTAAATTTGAGTTTAAATGTCGGCTCAGCCTCAAATGAGTGCTTGGTACGGTGTGTAGAAACATCGCCACTCGAGAGACAAAGGCGGCCGGGCATGGCGCTGCCCATCCACTCCCCTTGAGTGCCGTGCCAGCCTTCATAGATGTTCGCTAACAGCACTTGCATCAACGGGCTTGAGAGGTTATACTGAAGATCTTTGCCTTTGCACCTTAAGTTCATGTCACATGCGAAGGTTCGCTGCTGGCAGGATTGTCACAGAATCGACATCGTTGCCTACAATGGTCGCCTGACATCACTAGCTGATGCACCGCCTAAGCTCCCCCACTCTGCCACCTTACTGCGTTCTAGCCGCCCGGCGCTCCGCTCATTGTTGTGAGCGCCGCTCCACGGCCCTCCGCTGTTGTTGGAGGGTGACTCCTCCACCCGCCCAGTAGCCACAACGTGCACCTATCCTGGCACTGCCCAGTAGCAGCGTCCTTCACGAGTCTCCTCCGCAGAGGCCGACCTTGACACGGCTGGTACCGGGCATCGTCAAGTGCAGTCGCCGCGCGCTCACTCGCGACGCGCACGACAGAGGCAGTGCTCGGACGCAGAGCCATGGGACCTGATATGGCAGCAGCAGCAGGAGTTGACTTGGCATCCGCATGGCAGGAGCATGTCATCCACAGTCCTTGCAATGAGTAGATCAGGCTGGTGAAAATGAGATGATGATGATTTGACGGTACGGCTTTTCACAACACACTGTCACGATTATGTTTGTCGCCTCAACATCATCGTCAGCCTCATTATTTTTAATTCAAACTCTAAGCTCGATGTCAAG